ATTTTGGAACAGGGTCTCATTAAGTTGCTTAGAGCTGGGCTAAATTGCTGAGACTGGCTTTGAACTTGTAATCCTCCTGCCTCAGCCTCCTGAGCCTCTGGGATTACAGCTGTGTGCCTCCATTCCTGGCTTTTTTCTCTTTTTTAAAACTGGGACTGCGCTGTTGCTTTTCTTCTTGCCCTTCCTTCTCCTCTTTGTCACTTTCTCCTTTTTCTTTTTCTAGAAGAAACACAGTGCTGTTTGCATGACTAATTATTTGACTGAAAATACCCCTCGTTTATAAAGGAAGGAAATAATAAATTTGATTCCTGAGGGCCTCTTAGTGGAAGATGGCTATTACCTCATTTGATCTTTCCAGCCCTGCATGATTCTGGAGGGCAGGTATTATCAGGTGTTTCTCTCTCTCTCTCTCTCTCTCTCTCTCTCTCTCTCTCTCTCTCTCTCTCTCTCTCATTCACAGCCAAAGAAATGAAAGAACAGATGTCAAAAGTTTTATTATTCTATTTGAGAACCACATATTCACCAGTACTCTATAGTTCAAAGATTTCCAAACTTTTCTTTGTAGCCCTTTGCTTTTGGAAACAAATTTACTCAATAGTCAAATACAAAAGATATAAGTAAAACATTTCTGGTTTCAGTGGGATCGGGAGGTTCTGGGTTGCAATCACTGGGCTCTGCTCCCACTCTGGTGTTCTGACTACGCTGAAAAATGGGAGCTTGATTCTGGGGTAACTTAGCACCAAGAGCCTCTGTCCCTACACTCAGCTTCATATTCTCTTTTTTTCAGTCACAAACTTCCTGACTGTGTGGGCCTGGGCCCAAGAAGGCTTCACAGACCCCTGGGTGTGCCCATGGTGTGAGCCAAGTGTTTACTCTGGCCTTGATGCCAGCAGCTCAGCCCTCCCAGGTTTCAGCAGTGTGGAGCATGAAGCAGATGAGCAGGGCCAACATGGGCAAGGTGGAAGCCAGAGTGTGCTGTCTCTGGTCAGACAAGATGAACCACAGGCCTGATATTACTGTGAGGTCCAGGAGCCACTCCCACTGGGCCATGCCAGCCCACTCTGTGAATGGCTTTGAGTCTTAATTTCCTCTTTGAATAGGATTTCTAAAAAATAAGCTTTTTAGTTGTAGAAAGTTTAGGGTTTTTACAATGATGATTTGAAATAAAGCAAATATTGGTAAAATGCTTTGTGGTGTTCATGTTGACATGAATGTAAGACATTTATGGCAGTGGAATTAAGTGAAAGTATATGTACATTAATTTTGATGGGGGCACTTCTGGGAATTGAATTCAGGGTCTCATGCATGTTAGGCACACGAGAAGCAGCACTGAGCTGCTTCCCTCAGCAGTTTTCTTATTTATTTATTCACTTATTTATGGAATAGGGTCTTACTATGTTGCCCATGCTACCTGAACTCCCGTGATCCTTCTGCTTCAGCCTCCTAAGTAGCTGGGACTTCAGCTGTGTACCACTGAATCTGACATATATATGTACGTTACTTTTCTCTCTCTCTCTTTTTTTTTTTTTTTGGTGGTACTGGGAATCTAACCTAGGGCTACACACATGCCAGGCAAGCACTCTATCACTGAGCTACATCCCCAACCTTTATTTTATTTTGAGACAACAGAGTCACTCAGTTGCCCATATTGGCCTGGCATTTGCAGTGCTTCTGCCTCATCCTAACCAGTCATTGGAATTACATACATGCATGGTGCCACTGCACCTGGCCTGTACATTAAATTAAAATGTTATTCTACACTATTTAAGACATAAAAAAGATTAAAGACTAAAAACTTGAAAACAATAGCAATAACAATAACACACTGTCAATACAAGTAAATGCTCCTCTGACAGCCTGATGGCCATCTCTTTCTGTCCACTCCCAGGATGCTAGGATCCTGAATTTGCTAATATCTTTCCCATGCAATGCTTTGAATGTGTTTATCATATGAGTTCTTTGGGAACTTGCATCTTCTCCTCAATATTATATTTCTGAGATTCTTTTCCATGTTGATAACTTTCTTTTCTTTTTTCAGTACTGGGGATTGAACCCAGGGCCTTTTGCATGCTAGGAAGTGCTATACACAGGAGCTGCATCCCCAATCCCCATGTTGGTAGCTTTTTGGACATATTTTTACTACTGAATAGCTTCAAGTTACCACCAGAAGACGCTTGAAGAGCTTCGAGATTACCACAACTTGTGTATCTATTTTCTAGTTAATGGACATTAAAGTTGTACCAGTTTTTCTGTTACAAACAACATGACTGTGAACGTTCTTTTTTTTTTTTTGACTGGCCTGAGAATCGAACCTAAGGTCTTTCACACGCTAGGTAATTGCTTATTTATTTATTCATTTCCTTAGGGTCTTAATGACTCCATCCCACATACCACTGAGTTATACCCCCCAGCCCCCTGCTGTGAACATACTTGTATATCTTTAAATTGCATGTTTATGGATTTCTTTAGGATATTTACCTAGGGGGAGAATTGTTGGTTCATAGATATGGGGAATTGTCCATGATACTAAAAGTATTTTCTAAACTGGTGTGCTAATTGACAGGCTTACCTCAGTCACTCTATATTCTGTGAGATATTGTCAAAGCTTTTAATGGTTGTGAATTTGTCTTTTCTTTTGTTGTCTATATAATTTTGCTTTTTGCAGTACTAGTCATCGAGCCCATCCCCAGTCCTTTTATTAATTTTTTATTTTGAGACAAAGTCTCACTAAATTGCCTAGGCTAGCCTCGAACTTGTGATTCTCTTGCCTTAGGAGTTGCTGGGATCGCAAGTGTGTACCACTATGCCCTGCTCCTAATTGATTATTAAATATTTTGCAAATATATTTTCTCATCTGATGATTATTTTTTCACTTTCCAAATGAGCAAACATTTGATGAACAGAAGTTGATTTAAAGTTGAGGTTTAAATTTTGATGTTGTTAATTGCTCAGCTTATATTTCTGTCAGTGGTATATAAGAGTGCCTGGTTTTCCACACTCCTGCCAACACTGGATATTTATTATTGATTTTAATTTTTGTTAATCTGATAGGTGAAAATGGTGTCTTATTATTTTGACTTGTCTTACTCATGAGTAAGCCTGAGCATGTTTTCGCAGGGTTATTGACATTTTACATTTGTTTTTCTGGGTTTAGTATTCATTTTTCTATGCTTGTTTTTTTTCCTAATTGGTTTTCCTAATTGATTTGTAAAGACTTCCTAAATGTTAAAGAACTTCACCCTTCTTCTGCCATGCATATGGATGTACTGCTCTGCATATCCCTTTCCTGTAGCCCACTAATGATGGGATTAAAAACCTTGACCTCTATAACACATTGAACATATTTGGCTCTGAGCACTTCACCATATTGAAGGATAAAGTAAAAGCTGGTGGAGACTTGGTGGAGGAAGCAGTGTCACTCTGTGGAAGTGGACAGTTCATATTAAATGGACATTCACAGTGTGAACACTGAATGTCCATTTAATATGAAGACAATATTGAAATGAAGACTGGAGAGAAGGTTTGAGTTGGGGCAATGGGGATGTGGTCAGTGTTCTCTGTTCTTTTTTTTTTTTTAGTATTTGGAATTGAACCCAGGGCCTCCAGAAAAGTAGGCAGGTGCTCTGCCACTGAGCTATACCCTGAGCCCTGAATTCTCATTTCTTAAGTAAAATGTTACCTGAGTAAATTTTAGGTGTCTTGGGTATTTTGGCTCCCCTACGCTCATGGTAAGAACAGGGAAATTGAATAGTTTCCAGGGTCCAGCCTGTCAGGCACACAGCCCTGAGGGAAGGCATTCTTATGTGGGAAAAACACAAGCTCAAGAAAGCTGACTTGTTCCAGGTCACACAGCTGTTAAGTGGCCAAGCTGGGACTCAACTCTGGGAACACTCACTCCCTATCCCTGCTCTTTGCAGTGAATCATAGTTCTACAATGATTAGGCTCAATTAGGGGAGAACTTGGCTTCCAAAAAGGGATTTGTTAGCAGGGCCTTCTAACAAGAGAGCAAAATTAGGATATGTTTTGCCATCTCAACAGTGAAATTTCACATTTATATGATTTAATGTCAATAATTAGCATAGGTAGTACTTCTTGGAGAACACAGGTAAATGAACAGTAATTATAATTGGGCTCTATTGAAAAACAGCAATAGTTTCAATAGCCCTGTTCACACCTGAATGTTTGTGATAGAAATCATCCAGGATTCCATTTTTCCCCCTCTTGAATTTGGATGACACTAAATTTTCTCCTCATTCATTTATTTATTCAACAACTGTTTACTAAGCACACATATACTGTTTTGTTCAAAGCTGAGATAGTGAATAGACCCAGGTCCTGCCCTCATGGAGCCTATAGTCTAGTGGAGGGATAGTCAGTAAACAAGGAAACAGACAAATGAAATACCTAGTGCTTCATATGAGTGCTGTGAAGGACATATACATGTAAAATTGCAATAGGGAATAACAGGGGGACAGTTTAGTGGGAGGTGGGCAGTCAGGGAAGGAAATATTTATTTCATGGGTGGTTAGGTACTAATATTTATTTATTTTTGGTAAAAAATATCTCCTATAATCAGCCTCCATATCAATAGCTTTCTTATAGGGGAGGAGAAACAGCATCAGTATATTAAGAAGAAAAGCAGGGACTGGGATTATTTCTTCTGGGGGCTACACAATTAAAATAACCACAAAGCTCCCCAGACAGGGTTTCCTTCTAGTTCTGTATGCAATCACCATTCATTCCTGGTGTAGTCTTTTCATACACTCTTGATATGAATCCTTATTTTTGATGAAAATTTCTTCCTTGAGATAAGGAAAAAGATACTCCCCCCTTTTTAGAGAAAGCGTCTACGGAGAATATAAATTCCAGAAGCCTGTCCAGAACTAACATGAAATTCCCTTTTCTAAGTTTGCAGTACTTCAAGGCAAACTTCCTTGGAGCAGGTTTGGGGATTGGCTTTCTGTATCTTACCAGACCCCTGTCCGCTTGCCTAGCAGCCACATTGACCTGAACGTTTTTCCTCATCAAACTCTCTCTTGCAAGGACACCTTTCACTTGGGTCTTCTGAGACAGGAGAGCACCAAACTTTCAGGAATGTAAGCTGATGCTCATGGTTGGGATCCATTCTTCCCTCCTGGACTGTTTGGAGGCTTTTATTTTGATTGTTTTGCTTGTAGGCATACACATTTATTTGTTTTTAATTAAAATACCATAATACCCCTGAAAAAAATAATGATAATTCTTTGGATGAATATAAATCCTTAGTCTATATTCAAATTCTTGGCTCTCTTATTTGGGCTTCAAGAAACCCTCTTTTCTAAATAATTATTTTTCCCCAGTACTAGAGATTGAGCCCAGGGTCTGGCCCATGCACACAAGGGCTGTATGACTTTTCTAGACCCCCAGGCTGGGTAGTTGGAAAGCTCACAGAGTCTTGCCAAGTTGTTCAGGCTACCTATAAGCTTGCTATGCTACTGCCTCAATTTCAGGAGTAACTGGGTATAACCAATATTTAAAAATTTCTGAAGTGTTGCTTTTTTTCCCCTTCCTACATTTCCTCTTCCTTAACAAAGTAACAGATAACCCTCCACAATTGACAGGTGTTTGTGTGGTCACTATGGGAGAGATTTCACTTTCAAGGTAGAGGGAATGAAGGAAAACTGGTAACTGTAGCGACTTGATATGGCGTAAAGATCTTGCCTCCCTTAAACTAGCATTTGGGTCCCTCTTGTGGCCAAAATAATTATAACACAAATTCGGCCTCCCCTTTTCCCTCTGGTGTTAGTAGGTAGTATGACACCCTTGGAATCTTCCTGCTTTTCAGGATTATAGAAAAAAGATACTGATCAAGAAGGAAGTGAATTAAAATTAATATTAACTCTTATAAAGCAGATGGGGGCTAGAGATGGGTTAGGACAGTACCACCACAGGCATGACAGCTGCAGTTGCTGCCTGAGGGCCCCAGGATATTTAAGAAAACCCTATATAAGAAAATCCAAATTTTAATTTTGGGTGGAGTTGGGCAGAGATATATTATCAATTAAAAATTAATTATCTTGTTCTTGAGTCAAAGAATTTTAGAGATGAAAAGATCTTAGAAATTAGTCAATACAATAAAATCATTTTACGTGGGATCTAAGGACGAATGAGATACATGTGAGGGAGGCCTGTCCTCAATGGATT